ATTTTGGAAGTTTGAGTTCCTTGCTTAAAGCAGGACTGGGCCACGAGCTCAAAGAATAGTTTGTTGGATAAGTGCGGAAATTGCTTTTCATGTCTTCCTTACTGATGCTTCTTATTAGCCTGCAAAGTTTAATATTTGAATAATCTTTGCGAGCTTTTGCCATAGCATTTTGCGCATAATTTATTCATCCCTAAGTTTAGGACCTGAGCCTATTTTATATTGTTTGTTTATTTTGAACTTTCTTTCAGGAGATGGAAAGTAACTCTAACCTTAAAGTCCCATTTGACAGAGATGCAATAGATTCTTGTTGTAATAACAGGGTTGAGAATGGCAAAGAAGAGGAGCATGGTGCAGGAGGGTTGAACGGAGATGAAGTAGGGCCACCTTGTGTTGGAATGGTATTTGCCTCACAAGATGAAGTCCGTAGTTATTATAGCAAGTATGCGCAGCGTGAAGGCTTTGGTATAATGCGAAGGAGTTCAAGGTGTAGGGAGGATGGGAAGCTTACTTACTTTATACTTGCATGTGCTCAATCTGGGAAGACCCGCAGCATTGCGAAGAAGAGGTTTCAGTTTAGGCAACTAACAAAAACAAACTGCAAAGCAAAGATTAATGTAGTAGTAGAACCAGAGGGATGTGTCCATATTTGTAATGTTGTGCTTGAACATAACCACGAGCTGAGTCCTGGAAAGAAACAGCGCAATATATGTAAAAGAAGTGGGACTCCTCGCAATAAAAGAAAGTATGCATTGGAAGAACTGGTTGGAGCACCCGTACAACTGGATTCTCGTCTAGCTTCTCGTGAATCTTGGGCCCCTTTGAATCTGCCATCAGGTGCTAATTATCTTCAGTTTGTTCTTCTCATGAAATGCTTTGCTTCTTAAGAACAATTTCCGTTCAACTGCATTGTAGTATCTATTTCACTTTGTGTTCTTTAGCTTTCTAACAATAAAGAAGGTCAAATCCAGTAGATTATACATTGGAAGGAGCCAACTTTCCCCATCAATTAGCAACTGTTAGCAAGCATCTCGTATATGCTAATAATACTGGGCATTCTGTGGGTGAAGTTATGTTCGGTCCTCACAAGAGAAGAAGTTCGGTTCCAGAAGCTTCCCAAAATTGTAAGTGCAGAGACCTAATTTCCACTTCTTTTCTTGTTTTGTCACTGTCAGACATGTATGTGATGTACTTTAAGTTGAATCTGCAGTAGAATTTTGTGTCCTTGCAACAGAACGATATCTAATTTCATAGCTGGTTATAGTGTTTAATATAAGCAAAAAAAAAAAAAATCATACAGAAATTACTCCTATTG